AAATGTCAAAGAGTTCAATTCATCCACAGGACAACAATCATATATTTGTATGCATCTAATGAGACATGTTTAAATACATAAGCAAAGACTGCTTCATGACTGAAGGGAGAAATATGCAAATTCAGAGTTTATAGTTTATTTTGACACTTTGCCCTCACTAATTTATAGCACAAGTAAACAGCAAATTTATAACAAGATAGAAGACTTGAACAATACTACCCACCAACTTGACCTGACGTTTATAGAACATTCAAACCAGCAACCAGTAGTATACATGCCTTCCCAATGCACTTGTGATAGTCACCAAATCCCAACAGAAATGGCAGCAGCCACAAGGCAAGCAGAAGGCGTAGCTCCACTTCAGAATAGAAAGTTTCAGTTGTAGAAAAAATAAATCCCAGATACAAGGGCTTCCACTTGGGTCGCCCAAGGGGCGTGGCTGGCCTACAAATCACCACAGGCCCCTCTCCCAGGCTACCCCACACCCTAAGGGAACTCCCACCCTGGTCCGGGACACCCTTCAGGGCAAACCAGCCTGCACCCAGGCACCAGGCCTCTATCCTATCTAGTAAGTATAATATGCAGATTGACCATTACTCCACCACACAAGATGGCTGCCCCCATGTGGACACAAGATGGTCACTACAAGATGACCAACAGGGAAGGGCAGTTGGGAGGGAACAGGCCTGTAAAAGAGGGCAGTTGGGGGTGATCAAGCCTGAGGGGGAGGGCAGTCAGGGGTGACCAGACGGGCAGAGGAGGGAAGTTGGGGACAAACAGGCTGGCAGGGGAGCAGTTAGACATCAATCAGGCTGGCAGGCAGAAGTGGTTAGGGGCAATCAAGAAGGCAGGCAGGCAAGCAATTGGGAGCCAGCAGTCCTGGATTGTGCGAGGGATGTCTGACTGCCCATTTAGGCCTGATCCCACCTGGCCTAAATGGGCTGTTGAACATCCCAGATTGGAGAGGGTGCAGGCTTGGCTGAGGGGCACCCCCTCCTATGCATGAATTTTGTGCACCAGGCCTCTAGTATATAGATAACGTTCTGTGAAATCAGAAAAGAGCCCTTCAGTCCCAAACTCATTGAACACATGTGCTCCTCCTGTGGCCCTCCCTGGACCTGGGTCTTGGGGGCGGGCCTTCACAGGTTACTTTTCAGATGCTGAGAGGGGCTGGGAGACCCAGCCCGTCCTCTGCTCATGGGTGCCGGCAGAATCTGCTCCTATGGGACCATTCTGTCCCATGTCTCTGCCTAAGCCACTGCCAGCTGCCAGGGGCCTCCAGAAAACCTTGGTCTGTGATCCCTTTCTCTAGCCTCAAACCCAGCAATGCATGTTGATTCCTCCCATGGCATCTCTGACCCACCCTCTGGCCCACTTCCCACTTTCAAGAACACCTGGTTACCGAGGGCCAGGACCTTAGGGAGGGGCCACAACTTTAGCACGTTCAGTACAGGGTCTGGGATTTGGTGCTCAATAAATGTCCAATCACTGATTTAAAAACAAAGAAACAGCCAAAACTTGTTTGGCTCAGTGGTAGAGCGTCAGTCTGCGGACTGAAGGGTCCTGGGTTCGATTCCGGTCAGGGGCATTGGTTGCGGGCACATCCCCGGTGGGGGGTGTGCAGGAGACAGCTGGTCAATGTTTCTCTCTCATCAATGTTTCTAGATATCTCTCTCCCTTCCTCTGTAAAATATCAATAAAAAAATATATTTAAAAACAAAGAAACACCTATTAACTTCACCACCTGCCTAACCCAGGACAGTTGCCAGGTTACCTGTGTAACCTGCCTTACCATTGTGACCTGTCTTAGTTCTGTGACCTGTTGCCACATGACACCCCACCAGGCTGGGCTGGGGCCACTGCAGGATGACTCCCCTGCAGGCTCAGGAAGAGCTCCCCAAGATCTTGTCATATTTAAACTCAGACTCGGCTGTTGAGGCAGAGCTGGCCACATGGAGAAAGGGGAAGCCACCACCAAAGGGGCAGCACGTGCCCCCGGGGCAGGGAGAACCAGGCTGGCTGGGTGCAGGAGAGGACGGGTGAGTAAAGGGCCCTTGTATGGGGAATGACATGATCAGGTTTATATTTTTTAAAGGTCACTGTGATTTTTGGCATTTGAAATTATATTTGAGGGTGTAGGATTCATACAGATGAAGAGGGTGAGATGTGCTTCAGGTACAGAGAGTGGGAACATGAGGAGGCAAGAGAGATGAACACTGGAGACCTGAGCACACACCTCTGAGAGGTGAGTGAGGGACAGGGCAGGGAAACAGAAGACCCTCCATTGAGGGTGCAGGGCAGGGGGGACATGGAACCCTCCATGGAGGGTATAGGTCAGGGGGGAGGGGACTGTCCAATGGAGGGTACAGGGCAGGGGGGAGGGACCCTCCATGGAGGGTACAGGGCAGGGAGACAGGGACCCTTCATGGAGGGGGCAGAGCAGGGGGGACAGGGGACCTGCCATGGAGGGAACGGGGAAGGGGGATAGGGGACTCTCCATGGAGGGTACAGGGCAGAGGGAAGACAACCCGCCATGGAGAGGACAGGGCAGTGGGGACAGGGACCCACCATGGAGGGTACAGGGAAAGGGGACAGGGAACCTTACATGGAGGGTATAGGGCAGGGGGACAGGGGACCCTCCATGGATGAAGCAGAGCAGCAGGGACAGGACGACCTCCATGGGAGAAACCCTCCATGGATGGAGCAGGAGAGTGGGGACATGGGAATCTCAGGGATAGGCAGGGCAGAAAAAATGGGAGTTTCCACTGCCCCCTGTCCTGTCCCCTCCATGGAGTGGAAAAAGCAGGTGGAACAGTGGACCCTCCACAGATGGGGTCTGGCAGAGCAGACAGGGGATCTTTCATGGAGGGGCCAGGGCAGGGAGGACAGGGGACCTTACATAAAGGGGGCAGAACAGGAGTACTGGAGACCCTCCATGGAGAGGGAAGTACTGGGATTAGAGAGATGACAAAGGGGCACTGCCCCCTCCAAGGAGAGTCCTCTTTCCCCGCCAAGAAGGTTTCCCTGTTCTCCCAGCCCTGCCCCTTCCCATGGTCCCCTGTTCTTTCTGCCTTCCAATGGAGGGCCCACAATCTCCCTTGTTTGACCACTCTGTGGTTGGTTCCTTCTCTCCTCAGCCTTGTCCCCTCCATGGAGGGTCTTCTGTTTCCCTCTCAGGTCCCCTCACTGACAGGCATCTGAGGGGCATGTGCTCTGGTCTTTCCGGTCTTCATCTCTCCTGACTCCAGGCCACGTGCTCACTCTCTGTACCTGAAGCACATTCTCACCCTCTTCAACTATCTAAATCCCATCTGTGCTCTCAAGGCACGTCTCAAATGTCATTTCAAATGTCAAATCATAAAGTGATCTCCACAGGGGAAGGGAGTGGGGGAAAGTAGGAGATGGTAAAGGGGGGACAGATTGTGATGGAAGGAGACTTGCCTTGGGGTAGTGAACACACAATACAATCCTACGTAATAAAGGAGTAATATGTAAATTAACCACCATGCTGCTACACCCACCAGCCACACCCACCAGCCAATCACAGCAAGTATGCAAATGAACCCCAACCAAGATGGATGCCATTGGGTTTCCCTGGAAAAACAGAAAGCCAAGCTTTCCACACACCCTGGTGGGCCCAGGCCTCTACACAAGGGTACAAAATTTCAATTATAGAAGGTAAATAAATTCCAAAGAAATGGCGGCAGCCACGGAGCTGAAAGAGTAGGAAGCTAGGGCAATGGAGGAAGCCAAGCTTCTGCAGCCCTGGCCAGCTCAGGCCTTCATTCCAGGCTACAAAGTTCAATTGTAGAAGATACATAAATTCCAACATAAATGGCTGCTGCCACGGAGCAAACAGGAGGCTTGGCTCCACTCCAGGCTATAAAATTTCAATTGTAAAAGATAAATAAACACCAGATGCCAGGGCCTCCGCTTGCATCAGAAGGGAGCATGGTCAGCCTGCAAACCACCACAGGCCCCTCTCCCAGGCCACCCTCACCCCAAGGGAATCCCCACCCTGATTCAGGACACCCTTTAGGGCAAACCAGCTGGCCCCCACCCATACACAAGGCCTCTATCTTATCTAATAAAAGAGTAATATGCAGATTGACCATCACTCCAACACACAAGATGGCTGCCCCCATGTGGTCAAAGATCCTGTCCCCATGTGGACACAAGATTGCCACCACAGGATGGCCAGAAGTGGAGATCAGTTGGGAGAGACCAGGCCTGCAAGAAAGAGCAGTTGTGGACAATCAGGAAAGCAGAGGAGGGCAGTAGGGAGGGACCAGGCCTGCAAGGGAAGGCAGTTGAGAGGGACCAGGTCTGTAGGGGAGGGCAATTAGGGGTGATCAGGCCATCAGAGGAGGGAAGTTGGGAGCAAACAGGCTGCCAGGGGAACATTTACCCATCAATCAGGCTGGTCTGGGAGTGGTTAGGGGGTGATCAGGCTGGCAGGCAGAGTGGCTAGGGATAATCAGGAAGGCAGTCAGGCCAGCAGTTGGGAGCCAGCAGTCCTGGATTGTGAGAGGGATGTCTAACCCCTGGAAGGGTCCCATATTGGAGAGGCTGCAGGCTAGGCTGAGGGACACGCCCCATGCACGAATTTTGTGCACCAGGCCTCTAGTATACACATTATACATTACAGAAGTGAATACCTAAAACCTATATAATTTTATTAACCAATGTCAACCCAATAAATTCAATTAAAAATAAATAAAAGGCGGGGGCCTTGGCGGGTGATTGGATCATGAGGGTGGAGCTCTCATGAATAGGATTAATACACCTTTAAAAGAAACCCCATACTAGACTATTCCAGGGGATCACTTTGCAAGTTCTATATATGTTTATGCTGTAAACTTGAAATATTGAATGCCAACTCTAATTGGGAAAAAATTAATTGTTAAAAATGAAATTTAAAAATAATAAACATATAATGATAAATCAGAAAGTGATCTTTAAAACATATAAATCAGATCATGTCTAAAAGTCTGAAGGGCTCCAGCAGTAGTCAGCTATGCAGACAGAATCATGTCTGTGATGGTGTTACACTGCTGGGAGAGGAATACCCTGTCTTCTTTCTCCAGTCGCCTCTGTCACTGTTCTGACCACAGCTGGCACTGGGGCAAGGCAGAACTGTGCTTCCTTGAGAGCAAGCTAAGCATCACTTTGGCTGCTTAGTTCTGGTGTGGGAGCAGACACAGAGAAAACGTATTTTTAAGCTTTAATGGTTCTAATAGCATTTTCAACCCTCCCAAGGGACCAGTGACTTTTGCCTGCTCTTCCCTGCACTCCTGCCAGCCTGGCCCACCCAATCTTGAGGACAGAGGGCTGGCGCAGTGTTGGCCAGGAAGCTAGGGAACATGCATCTGGGTGGCTGTCTGAACAGAACTGCCGTTCTCTTAGGATGGAAATGGAGGGAAGCATCTGCTAGTATCAGTCATGCACGTAGAGACTCTACTTTTCATGACACAGTAATAGGATCACAGCTGCATGACCCTGCCATGTTCTCCTTCCCGACCACGTTCCAGGGACCCAAGAATCGCCCACCATGACAAGCAGCTTCCTGGCCTCTGAGAACTCACTGACACTCTGCAAAGCCCTTAAGCTCACACGGCTGATCTCAGGCTATGGATCCCAGACATCTTAACTCCTGGGAAGCAACCTGTTGTGACTTTTAAATTCCACTCCTACAGTGGAATTACTTGAGTAGTCACTGAGAACCTGCCTCATGCAATCTGAGTACCTGCAGAGGCTCTTTCAGTGACTGAGCCTAACAGACAGCCAGCAAGTGGAGGCAATTCTTGGGGTGCCTTGGGAGCTTTGTTGAACGGCCCCTAGGCCCAGTGCTAAGAAAAGCCAGCCTTGGTTTGGATCATCTTGTGCTCATTCAGGCCTGGCAGAGGTAGCCACACACTGTGAATTGCTTTGTAGCTCCCAAGAGGTTGCCCAGGGCCAGTCACAGGAAGCATCTGAAATTGGCTGGTACCAGATTCCCGCCCAGAAGGCCCCAGCGGCCAGATTCAGATGACATCAGAGCAGGATCCAGTTAGGCTTTACATGTAGCATATCCCACATGATGTTATTAACCAATACATTCAATTTAAATCACAGGAACAATATTGTGATAGAAGCTATAATGTTGATGGACTTTGATGACATGTTCAGTGCAAAAGCCAGTGAAAAGATGACAACTACTGTGAGATTCCACGCACATGAAGTCCCTAGACCCATCAGAGTCAGAGGTGGAAGGGAAGATGAAGGTACCAGTGGTGGTGGTGGTGGGGGAAATGGGGTGGAATGCAGAGTTGTTTACTGGGGACAGAGTTTTGGTTGGAGAAGATGGGAAAAGTGATGGAGATGATGGTGGTGTGGGCCACACAACTGCACTGTGCATTGACAAAAAAGTGAAAATGGAAATAAGCCAGTCAGAGAAAGACTAATGCCATATGATTTCACTTGTATGTGGAATCTAATTAGCAAAATAGATTAACATAGAAAATAGAAACAGACTCATAGAAAGAGAACAGAATAACAGCTATCAAGGGGAAAGTGGCTGTGGGTGTGGGTGAAAAAGATGAAGGTGTAGGGAGAAGGTGGAGTGCAGATTGTTTACTGGGGACAGAATTTCCGGGTGGAGAAGATGGGAAAAGTGATGGAGATGATGGTGGGGTGGGCTGCACAACACTATCAATGTCCTTTATGCCACTGCACTGTGCACTGAAAAACAATGGAAATGATAAATTTCACTGTGATACAACGATGCACAAAAAGGTAAAGGAAATGAAGGCCAGGTCTTCAAACAAAACCAAGGTGGGACATGCTCAGGCCACCTGAATCCCCGCTCCCAGCAGGCCTCTGGACACAAAGTGATGAGAAAGGCCTGGGGTGTGAGGTCCATTAGGAAACACTGGGTAAGCCTTGATTCTGCTGGCTACCCCACCAGTCTATTAAGAAAAGCAGAGCAACTGTGTGGGGATCAACATCGTGGGCAGAGAGGTGCACCTTTGTGGGGAATTCATTTTGTACAGCCACTTTGGAAAGCAGTAAGGAGTTACCTCAAAAATTAAAAATGGTTCTTCCATGTAACAAAGAGAACCCATTTCTGGAAATGTATCCCCAAAAAATCAGAGACATTGATTGGAAAGAATATATGCACTGCTATGCTCAATGCAGTGTTACTTACAATATTAATATCTGGAAGCATCCCAAGTGCCCATCAATAAGGTGAGTGGATAAAAATGCTTTGGTACATAGACACAATGGAATACTAATTGGCTATGAGAAGAAAGGGAATCTTACTATTTGTGACACGTGCATGGACCTGGAGAGCCTTCTGGTAAGTGAAATAACGTGGATGGGCCTTGGCATGTTTAGTGCAAAAGCCAGTCGAAAGAAGTCAACTACTGTGTGATTCCACTCACATGAGGTCCTTAGCGCCATCAGAGTCAGAGATGGAAGGTAAGATGAAGGTACCAGTGCTGATGTTTTGGTGATTGTGGTGGTAGTGGTGGGGGACAGGTGTGTGAGATGCAGAGTTGTTTTTAATTGTTTATTTATTTATTATTATTATTTTTAAAACATTTTATTGATCTTTTACAGAGAGGAAGAGAGGGGGATAGAGAGTTAGAAAAATCGATGAGAAAGAATCATGGATCAGCTGCCTCTTGCACTCCCACACTAGGGTTGTGCCCGCAACCAAGATACATGCCCTTGACCGGAATCAACCTGGGAACTTTCATTCTGCAGGCCCATGCTCTCTCCACTGAGCCAAACCGGTTTCGGCGAGTTTTTTTTTTTTTTTTTTTTTTTTTTTTTTTTTATGGGGCCAAGAGTTTCCATTGGAGAAGATGGAAAACATGATGGAGATGATGGTGGTTCAGCTCCCACACAGTATCAATGTCCTTAACGCCACTGCACTGTGGATTGAAAAGCAGTGAGAATGGAAAATGTATCTGTGATAAACTCTCCGAAAAAACAGAAAGGAAAGAAGGCCAGGTCTTCAAACAGAACCATGGTCAGAGGTGCTCAGGCCACCGGAATTCCCGCTCCCAGCAGGCCTCTGGACACACAATGATGAGAGGAGCCAGGGGTGTGAGATCCACGGAGAAACCCTGGGAAAGTTCTTGCTTCCCCCTTGCTACCCAACCGACCTATTGAGAAAAGCAGGGATGCTTCGAGGGGGTCACCATCCTGTGCAGAGGGGCACACATCTCTGTGGGGAATGCATTATGGGCAGCCAGTATGGAAAGCAGTAAGGAGTTACCCTCAAAAATTAGAAATAGAACTTCTTTATGGCAGAGCAATTCCACTTCTGGGAATGTATCCCAAGGAGTCAGCGACATTGATTGGAAAGAATATATTCAAA